GAAGGACACCCGGGCTATCGGAAATCCCCTCAATAGTCTTTTCAGTCTTTTCTCAGATATGAGCTAGCAGAACCTTTTTCAGATGAGTATAAGTGACTATACTGGTTTACTGTGAATCCTTATTCAGCATCCTAGCCTTGCAGATCTCAGTTATTGATTGGCGATTTAGTTACTCAATGTAAAAATGAGTCAGAAACCTTACCAACCACCTGGTACTGTGCAATATGCATTAAAGAAAGTGATTTAGATCCTAAAAACATTATTTTCTGTCAACAGGGGCAGCATCTAAATGGCATTCACGTGCTGTTTGTTGCCGTCCTCATAAAAGTAAAAACGTAAGGACATATTTCTCCAGATATCGTTCGTATCCACCTAGATAGACTGGTGGCCTCTGCAGATTAAGTTCAGTCACCCACTGACTTACTATTCAATTTGTCCCTGCTCTGCGATGACTTTTCTAGCCATCAGAAATACGTGCCAGTAACAGTACTGGCGCACATATAAAAGTACTAAGGGCTTCAGTATGTGATGCGGTAACTGATTTCCTCAACAAGGCAAACTTCAGCACGGTTGAACATAACACCTTCAAAAACCCCCACCCGCATGGCTAATCTCTTGACCAGTGGATGAGTGCACTGGATAAAATGAACAAGAAAATATTTTCTAGCCTTTTATCCGGATTGCCTTTGATATCACCGACTATTCGTGGAAGGCTCTTGCTACAGTTTGGGCCGTGAGAAATGTTAGTTTTTGGCATGGATGAATTCTGAAATAGCCTAAAACCTTGCATGCATGTCTTCTAAGAATGACTTATTGGCCCCCTGCTGTTGAAGATTTCTCAGCCGCCTATCTACCTAAGCCACCATCCGCACAACTTTTGAGCATCTAAAATGTGTTATGAAGCACAATAATGGGAGAACCTGCGAATAACCTAAATTATACTTTGTTGAATAATTGTATAAATATCGGACAACCCTACACAATCCGGTACGCGCAGTTGCTACTTGATTCTCGACAAATTGGATCAATGCTAAAGGTACAGCGCTAACTGAAAGTGCTGACGTCTGAAAGTCTCATGATGTCTGAAAACAAAAAACCCAGCTCCCTTTTCTGGATGTTTGCTTATTCAAGAAATTTTGGAGGCACTTAGTAAGGCCTGTGTTCAGGATACGGACCGTCACTCGTATATTACAACCAACGTCAACAGTTAACAACTAGATAGAAAAGTGGTGATGACAACAAAGCGAATAACAGGTTCCCGGGGTGACCCACATTCAGACGGAATAAAAACACTGGCTTTATTTAACTATGATTACGGAGAGAACAAAGTTGACTTGCTGCTAAGCGCGGTTAACATTGAATTAAACAAACTGTTCTCCAGTGTCTTCATACTCCCATATGTACGGACCACTGCGGATCAGTCCTTGCTCGATCTTGAAAGCAAGGGACACTGAGAGACGTGTCATGGAAAAAGTAGCAGTTAAAACTGTAAATTAACCGAAAGTGTTAGTTTCTAAGAAAATTCAATATTCGGGATATTTCAGTGACAACATGTGGGGCAAGCAACGTGTTTCGGTCAACAAAACCTCATAAAATAGTGCAGCATAACACTAGCATAGGGTTCAACTAGATTCAACATTGATGCTGACCTACATAGTTTAACTGAACTCGCTAAGCTGAAGGCATGTGGTCAAGCATCCACACCACTTGGCACGCTATCGTGTTACGTTTCACTGCTCGTAACCAACCCTCTAGCTAGCCAGTTGGAACGTATAGGTATTTTGATACGACCTCACCAATATATGCTATTCCATCCGACTACACTATTGTGTTCTTCCTTGATCTCGTATTCGTGGGTATGTAACAAGTACGAATAATCAGTGATTGGCCTCTTCATTTTTCAAGTTCTCACAAGGACAAGTCCTAAAGTCCCAACTCATATCTGTGACGTATGCAGTCATGGTCGCGATGACTGGATATTTGAGTGGTAGGGTAGGATCAATGTACTGAGAGTACTAAATGAACAGTGAGCGAAGCTTGCAAATAACCTTTTCAAGCTAATAAGTCATGACCAGTGGAGTCAGAGCCTGATGGCCGTGAGGACAGACACTCAACGATGACAGTGAGTAGCGGTTGCGCTATATCGTGAGGTAACCGAAGTTTGAAATATGGAGCATTTGATTCCGACCCAGTCGCTCAATGGTTACACGCCGGCCACGGACCCTGAAGGTTGTGGGTCCGACCCCTGGCGGGGTCGTGGGTGCGCACTGCTGAGGAGCCCCATGCTAGGACGAAACAGCTGGCCAGTACTCCCAGGTTTCCTTAGTCCCTCCGATTGATGTCAGTCTACGATGAATAACAACTTGCGGTAAGGGCAAGGCTTGTTAAACGTTTTAAGTGTTTGGTAAAGGGGAGGTCGCATGTTTCAATTTCCAAGTAAAGATAGGGATTCGGTATAGTTGAAGCGGCTTTTCAGCCACAAACACCATGGTACTCGCGCTTACACTAGAGCTGGATAAAGTATGGCGAATATTGCGGTCATTTGGCGACAATAATTCATGCGAATCAATTTTCTGAGTTCTTCCTGAGGATAATTCTCACAGAATTGTAAATACGCAGTTTTGTAATGCTGATGAAGGGACTGAAACTCCATACTGGTTAGCCTCTCTGAAGATGCCACGTTTTTAAATTGGAAAATAAATCACTATCACTTCGCTTCTTTTCGCAGTTTTTTCCACACTAATTATATGAAGCTACTACGAGCATGAAATCAATAAGGGGCTTGGATAAAGTGCAAAACGGCCATAAAATGATAAAGAGGCAAATTAAAAATGATGAACTGGCATGAAACAGGGAAAATAATGCACGGTAGCTTCCTATATTTTCGTTTCACAGGAGGGATCCACTCTCTTTTTGGTAGCATGCGGCTCGTGCAACTTCCCAAACTACATTGATATATCTTTGATTTAAAACCTGCAAGATGGTTCGAATCAACTCAGGAAACACGTCTGATACCCGTACAGTAGCACGCTGAGCGTCTGAACTAGGTGCCCTTGGCAGTCACTCTGGTAACCCCCCTGGAGGCAGGAGCGCAGTAACTCATTTAGAGGCCAGAACCTGTCGCTTGGATCTGCAGTCACTGACACGTCCCAATAGCTGTAGTTCAGTGGCTGCCGGACAGTTTATTGCATCCATCCAGGTACAATGTAGACCAGGCTGAGGGGACAAGATGATATCATATTCATCTGTGAGGTAATTGTGTTGTTGTCAGCAGGCACGCGACCACTCTTATGCAATTTGGTGTTAGCCGGCGCCAGGCTTATCACCGTCTTATCTATGCGTAAGCAATGGTAAAAAAACAAAAAATATGGTAAAACCTGCGGAAAAACAGTGAATTTTTTAGCCCACTACTTAATGCTCTTCCTGAGGAAAATGTTGTGGCTTGTCTGTCCATAAATGGTCCACCTATAGACTGTGACTAGCTGACTGTTAATGAGCACAAAGAGGACGCAGGTGACGTTTGTTTAATGGGTGGATTCTACCATAGTCAAAAAAAGAAATCAGGGGAATGAAGGTACCCTCTACGCCTTAGCACATTATTTGCCTGACATTTAGATATTAAAATATTTATTAGAATCCTTATATCACCCTGACGACAAGAAGGCATGCTAAAACTCCTTCATTTTTTACGCCAAAGTGCTGATCCTGTTTCTTCCATGCCATTATTGTTGGCATGGATCACTCCTCATCTCTTAAGTTGGAACTTACCCCAAGCTTAAAACTGCCGTTTCGCTTCCATTCAATGTCCCATTTTCATTCCTGTCTTTCTTTGTTCTTTCCTGAATAATATGAATATTGCTTCTATCCGGCCAATTCTAGCAGCTGTTTGATGACTATGGCATCCACAAAGGCTACCGGCATCGCACTTCCAGTGCAAATCATGCAGCTCATGACAAACATAACCAACGCCAACCATCTGGCATTTTTACTACAGCTGCGAAGGGCGGAGAACTGGACCAACTGGATCACAACCAAACATACTGGACAACTACATGAGGCCGAGAAGCTAGCGTAAAACAGTTAATTAGCCCACGCTAGGGCGTGCTGCCAAATGTCAGGAGCCACCATTTGGTTGTTAACGCTGCTGATGTGAAAGTCTAGCGTGAAATTATGAATGACAAGGATACACATGCATTTCAGCGGACCTAAACATCTTGTTTACCTGGTCACAGAAGTAGCTGATGCTTACCGACCCGGATGAACGTCTGAGCGTGCGCTTGGAGCGCACATATGACAACACCCGTAAAATGATGGGACTCCTCTGCCGTCTGTATTGGCCAACGTGATGGAGTCATAGGGTTGTGACTTAAAAACAGCTGTAGACTGTCGATTCGTAGCGGCTCGGGGCTTCAGAACACATTGGGCATCACGTAGAACGTTTACAAAATGAGTAGTGACAAGTCCGCCATCTTATACACATTTTCAGTTAGGTATAAATTAGAAAAAAAGTACACATATGGCAAATCCTTGTTTGGAAAGTGACACAGACCTTCTTGAAAGAGTTCAGAGGGCAGCCATCTCCGCGATGGATGGTTTAATCTGTGAGGAACTACTCAAGGAGCTTAAATTCTCTTCTTTATCATATCACAGGCAGACGGGAGATCTGATCAAGATTTACAGGATTCTAAGAAATGATTTTGGGCCTGATCTCGTGTCGGACTGATCTACCTTTTATTTTCCTTCTCGCTAGGTCAGGACACTACAGAGGATACATTAGAAGGATACAAAAGCAAAGAAAGAACATAGTACTCACAGAGTACTGGTTCTCGCGTCGGGTAAGCAATGCCTAGGACCTACCCCAGAAGAAGTGGTGTCCGCGTCATGAAGTGCCTCACTTAAAAATGAGTTGGACAAGGACAGAAATCTGCTGCAAAAGGATTAATATGGGCTCACAGCCTTCTGTCCTAAAACAATAAGTCTGAATCTTTATACAATAAATAATGAACACTGTCTTAGGTCGAGCGGAACATTTGTTTGTGATGCTACTTGGCTACCTAATAAGTCTAGTTTTTGGGAGTTTATTTCTGCTTGGAATAGTGTCGACAGAGTCAAAAATCTATGTTGTGGTAAGAAAAGTCATTGTGCAGCTTCTTTCATGTCCTGTATCATTGTTTATCTCAAACCTATGGTTTAAAACATTAAAATATGCACCTAGTTTCCGGCATAAAGCGGTTTTGAAGTGAAACTCGTTTACCTGGTTATTATAATGAGAAAAATGTTACATTTACTTTCGTACTTTGAATAAATGTATAGGAAACTAATAGGCTTGCAAGATTTAGAGGTTACAAAGACAGCTGTGTTTTTGAAGGTACTTTTAACAAAGAATTCTTTGTTAAACTCCCCCATCGAAGGTTCTCCGTATATTTCCCTAGTGAGTTTAAGTTGACTTAGCAGCACTAATTCAAATCATGACTTGAGTTTTTCCAACGAAGCTTTTTGATGATCTAGCAGGTGATCAGTAATTATGATAGGATAAGCAATATCGATATCATATTCGTTTTTTGAAATGCAGATTGGTTAAGTGTTTCTTTGACAACCTTTGGAGCATTTGAGTGCAGTTACATACAGTAATCTGAAATAATGGTATTCCGGTTTACAATCAAACTGGGGCTAAGAATAATCTCAGTATAGATTCATTTATTTCGGTAATGTGCAGTTAGAGTATTAGTGTATTGTCCTGTTAATACTATTCTAAGATGCTTTTCCCAAGCATTCGTACGCATTTTAGTATCGGGAGGAGCTTAATTATACAGAAAGTATGATTTTCTATTTGTCATTTGTTCAAAATATCGTAGTATGCTTATACTTTTAGTATGATATAGGAGATACCAGAGTACCCATCCACGTCTGTTAAACTACCAGCTGTTATCCACACTTTCCTATCCGAAATCGACGTCAAATGGTTTCTGCAGGGTTTCCAGTAATAGAAAAGGTTTGGCTAGTAAAATTAAGCACTTTCAAATAGAAATCGGATTCAAACACCGCTCCACCAGTTTCAGCCTGGGTAATCGGGTAGTACCATAAGCTCTCGCAACAAATATAGCCCATAAAATAGCACAAAAACCAGGTTGTGACGTTAACTTATCTGACTTTAAACGAGGAAGCTGAAGACAGTCACTTTAGTTTAATCAAACCGAGAGGAAAGAATTTTCCGTCACTGAAATAGTGCTTACCTTTTCAGCTCATTCCATTAGGCTGCATTTATTAAAGAATGAACTGGTCCCAGCACTTATGAAAGACCGTACGTAGGATCCTTAACAGCAATCCTGAATAAATTCCTAGACATGTCTATGTTGAAACTTTACAACATTATACTAAACGACCAAAACACCCAAACTTCCTTAACCACAAGTGTATTACGATATGTTGTCTTCATAATTTGTTTCTGCAAGTGTACTCACTCTCCCCTTGCTTGAAGGAACAAAGTGACAGTAGTCTGACTAACGCCGACTTACGCGATGGATCCATCAAGATTCACAGCCTCATCTATCCACTTCTCTTCCTTACTACCCCTTCTCTAAATCATAACGTCATTCCACCAAATACCTGAAATGCTATGAACAAATTTGTGATCGAAACCACGTGATCCCTTCATGTCTTCTACTTTCACCGGCCATGTCTCACAGTCGTATAGCAGGACACAACGGACCTCAGCGCAGTATACTCCGCCTCTAATAAACAGTCAGACATATCGCCAAACGGCGCCAAAACTGACACAGGTTGACAGGTGGCGAGTGGGCCTTCTTTATCCGAGCTGAGATTACGGCAGCAACCAGCTCGTTCGAGCTGATGTAACTCCTCAAGGAAGTGAAGTGGCCGACACGTCCCACCTGTTCATTCCCTATCATTAAACTGGCAGAGACTGCATACTAGTCCTGAAGCGTCATCTTACATTTGGCAGGTGTGAAACGTTTGCCAAACATACTCAGAGCCCGTTCTAATGCGGCAACTGAGTCGAAACTAGTATTTCAGGAAAAACGCTAATCCTCCACCAGCGATATGATCTATTGCGTCCATCATTGCTTTGAAGTCGGTGGACACCGTGTGAGACAGTGTCTCTCATCATACCTAAAGTTACTGCTGACCAGAAACAAGTGATTGTCGGAACAAAATTGCAACAAACCATCACCGTTGTCAGTTCGTCGGCATGGGATTCGGTAAATGCCCTCAGGATGCCTTTCCCATTCGCTCAGCTCCCCCTACTTGAGCGTTAAAGTCACCTGCCATTGTGACTACATCCAAACTTTCCACTTTTCGTAGCAAAGTTGACAGGTCCTCATGGGATTCATCCTTTGCATCATCCAAATTACAGTCGGTGGGTGCGTAGGCGGAGATTACGAACAGACATCGGTTGGTCTCACGATCCTTCCTAACCCTTAGAGATTCAATCAATCGAACAGCATATAGACGGCTGTTGACTGGTATTCGGTCGAGAAACGTACTTTCTGCTCTACAACTCAATGCAATGTCCATACCAGCGAGTCCACGAGAGCCAGACATTGAGTATCTGGATACTCAGTGGTAAGGTGAATTTTAGAGATTCACTACTATGAACAGGTAAGGTCAATTAAACAATCACACTCGGGTCCTGTTTACGTGTCTCACAGTCACATCACACATCTTTGGCTAGAGATTCCAGAGTTTTTGTGAGCGCAGCTTGCTGTTCGACTTAGTATAGAGTTCGGATGTCGAAAGTTCGTATATGAAATCGATTGTGGGGACTTAGGAGACTAGGAGTGATGTTACGATGGCTTTGATCGTTAGTATTGGTTGTTGAGTGACAGGTTGGGTAAGGCGTAAGAGGCTTAATATTAGTACCAGGAGGTGAAGGCAAAGGAGGAGACAGAGTTGAGGAGGACAGGTAGTGTTTGATTGGATCTTGTGTACTACTGGAAGCGTACGGGTGGTTGACACTTTGCAGTTGCCCACACTGTGGAAAGCTATTTCTTCTTAAGGTATCTGAAAGATAAAAAGATTTGTGTGACCATGGAGTTGATGAGACATCTGCTTAAGGCCTGTGATATACGGCCTTTCGCGAGATGTTGTTTTGTGTGGCAGGGAGGAGTGCGCTATTTTTAGGGCCAACCTTTCCGAAGCTCCCCTCTTCCGTTTGGAAAGCAGCATCAGCATGGCAGCTCTAACCATCTAAGGGAAAGACCTTACTGCTGTCATACCCCATCTAGCCAGCAGCAGTATGACGTCGCTCTCAGACTCCGATCATAGTATGGTAATTTACATTACAACGGTAACTGCCTTTCGTCTTACCACTATCCAACAGACCTGGCATGGTTGGACGTCGAGGGAACAAGCGTTCCAGCACCCAAGCTCATTGGGTCATCATGATATGTAAGCCCGATCACCGCGTGAAGGTACCAGGTATCGGTCGGGCCAGAACCTCAACTTTTGGCGTTTTTCCTTTAAGTTCTTAATAACTCTATTGCAAGTATGTTTCAAGAGAAAGCACATGAACCAACGTGTTTGTTTTATCGACGTTGCAACTACGTTTTCTATTTATCGAGAAACAGCACCCAGCAAAGGTGGAATCTGAAGGTAATTGTCTAAGTGTCCGTATCTATAGTCGTCACCACAAGGTTATAACATGTGACATCAGGAGTTATAACAAATGGCGTTAGGGTTATAAAAGTAGCGGCACGATAAAAAAGGTGGCGATGGTTTAAAAATGACAACTGTTTCTAGTGACGAATTTTCAGCATTTTTACAACGCTGACAAGAGAGAATGGAAACAGAGACACTTAGGATTATTGAGAACTTCAACCAAATACTGGATGACAACCTAGTCAGAATCTACATACATGATTCCTCAGGTTTTGAAAAAGACTCGGAAAATACTTCAGTGATGGACGCGTCGAAGATGAATATGAGTTTCAGAAGTCTGATAATATGGATCACGTTATGGATAAAGATGATAGTAACCCTCCATTACCCATCGGAAAACAATAAATGATGGCGATATTCGATCAGATCATGGTAATAAAAATCACGAAGTATTTCCAGAGAGATCCCAACATGTTTAGTACAATCTCTGCAACCAATCGCCGTACAATGTATTCAGGAGAACTATTTCAAGCCCAAGCATCAACCTCAACAGTCACACCAATACTCAAGGTTGTTTAAAGCCCCTGAACACAAATTAAATGAGGTAGTTCCTTCCCATGATAGTGCATTACTACATCAAGAACAATTTGTGTTCATACAAGAACACGGACATACTAGGATTGTACATTCACCAGCTGCGCTTCAGACATCACATCCACTAGCCAGCAGGCAACTGGAAAATCCAGAACCTACCCAAATTTACAGGTTGCTCACAGTACATCAGATGGCCAAAAGCACAGCAGCGGGGTGGTATACTGTGATGTTAACTACGGCAGTTCATCGTATAATGGAATAACTCATCAGTCAGATCAACTACTCCAAGACTACCTTGGCTCAAAATAGAAATAGGACCTCGGACTGTTATTTAAAAAACTGAGGCTTGCTTGAACCAGGAGAGTATGACAGCACTACCTGCTCAAATGAGTCAAGACATGCTTCAGAGAATGTTAACAAATATCATGCAAATTAAAGAAGTTATCTGAAAACCAGCAGATTACTGAAGAGCTATAGAAAAGTAGCCACATATAGCATGTATAATTAATAAATAGAACGCATACGATTGGTGTTGACCAACACATCAATTGTCCAAGTGTTTACCTCAGCCCAAGAGAGTTTGGTTCAGTGAGGTTTGCAAATTTGTGCAACCATTTCAGTGTTAAAAACATCAGAGTAAAGATTAAACGCGCACAACCGGTCGACATGATCTTTGAGCACTTTTGCGAATTCATTGCTGTGCAACATTGGAATTCAAATCGCAAAGCTTATTATTACTACCAGACTATAAACATGGTGCAGAAAGAGCACCAAAAAATGCGTCACACAAAATAATGAAGACTATTTAGCGATCTGTTGAGACTGTGTTGTGGTGTAGTATCACGTAAATGTATTGAATCTGGTAGTGGGTGGAATGATTTACTGACACTTTGAAGAAGAGTACTTGATGAACCTT